TACTGCTGGTCTTCCAATCTCTGTTTTACCAAACATTTACACAAGCTCATTTCTTAGGCCATATTTTTTCCCTCCGTTACTTTTGATTTCAGTATGTTATTTGAGTGTCAAATATTCCAAACCCTCTTTCTTCATTATGAACCCTAGGAATTTCAACAATTTCGGATGGCTGAGTATGAGTGTCTTTTCGTTTCCAGTTTTGACTTTTTCTTTCTAGTTGCATAGAATTCTCAGCGTCATGCTGGAGAGTCAAAATTTCTGTTTCCTCTCACATTGCGTAACAGTTCAGGCATGGTTGTGTAATGGATAGCGGCTCGGATTGAGAAATCTGTGGCCCGTTTTCGAATTTCAGTCAGATCTTTTAAATTCACTTAATGACTAATGCCCTTCCGAAGTGTACGAATCATCTTTTTCTCTCCCTGCTATGCGTAAATAGTAGGAAGGTTTGGGTTCTATAGCCTTGGATGGCAACCGGTGTAGGAGAAAAGTAACTCTAAATTCGTAAATGTATGTAGCCCAGGCGTAGCACATATAGATCTATAAAAAAAAAGGATCATCCGAATTGGCTCGATGATCCCGACTACGGTCTAATGATTATGGGTATTCTTTTCTTTATTTCTAACGAAATTATCCTGTTTTCTTTTCTTTATTTCTAACGAAATTATCCTGTTTTCTTTTCTTTATTTCTAACGAAATTATTTCTTAATACCTTGTTGAGCTTTTCGAAGGCAATTTCCGAAATTTTGTACTTACATTGTTTTGGTATATCCAATTCGTAATTTGCATGTTGTTTTGTTTCCTTTGCTGACAATCACGCATTCTGACTTCTTACGAATGATGGTTAATCATTTTTTCTCTCTTTCCATTACTATCTTCTGCAGGTGTTCCTGCAGATTTCTTTCTGGGACTACCGTCAATACTGTATCAACTCCATATATAATACTGTTAAAAGTGTGGCCTATAGTAATGAAAGAATTGTTGTACTTTTAATTCTCTCAGAATTGCTTTCCTGTAAATTTTCAATAATCCGGAGAGAAGACACACCCTTGTCTTATGCCACTTTCTATGTTTGTGTATTTATTGAATTTATTTTCTATCCAGGTTATTTGCTCCCACTACAAGATGAGACGAGAAAGAAAAATTAAAATAGATCCGGGTGAAAGAATATATATATATATATATATATATATATATATATATATATATATATATATATTATAAATTAATTGATTTAAAATATGTTTTTTTTCCGCTACACAGTTCTAACCATGTTTCAAAAATGGAAGCTAAAAGCCACGAATTTTAATTTTACAATTAAATTAAAGACATTAGTTCCATTTCATCCTCAAGCGAATTTTGGAGTACTGCAAAATTCGCTTGAGGATGAAATGCTTTTAGCTTCCATTTTTGAAACATGGTTAGAACTGTGTAGCGGAAAAAAAAACATATTTTAAATCAATTAATTTATAATATTAATGCTTTGTAAATTTACATTGAGCACTATTTTGTAAAAATAAAAATATCTATAAGAACACCGGATTATATATCTTACTGTTCATTCTTTTTTATTTAAATACATACATATATATATATATATATATATATATATATATATATATATATATATATATATATATATATGTATGTATGTATTTATAGATAGGATGAATACTTAGCGGTAATATGAAAAAGAGAACGAAAAAAACGGTAAAAGAGAACGAAATATGCTGTCGGGAAGTCAAAGGACAATGAGCAATAGACTGAAGATTAGAGGGTGTAGAATTTGAAATATTTTATCATCAGTAAAACTACAGAAAATGACCTATGTCCAGGGCGAAAATAGTTTCGGATGGGTTTAGTATGTAAAATAACCCCCCACCACCACACGCCCAAAAAATGGCGGCTTCACGAGACGTATATCTAAAACAGATAGATCTCGGAGTCGGATAGACTCTCACGAGAATCTCTTTTAGCATATGCATATTTTAACTACCACCTCATCTATACAATTTGCTTAAAGTGGCGGCAGAAGTAACAGTGAGAACCGTAGCATACAGAGGACACGTGTTTTAGGATCAGTTGACCGCAGTTCATACTGCGACTCTGTTTGTAGAAGGAAACGTAGTAAAAGCAACAAGAAACGGGTTATATAACCTTTATACAAAATAGACAATTCCGTATTCCATTTGAATACATTACATTTACTTACGAGCTAATACCTTTGGAAAAGATATGAGTCCTCTTCTTCTGCCCCAGCTATGGGTAAATAGCAGACAGTTCTATAGCCTTTGATGGCAACTGGTTTACCGCAGAAAGAAATGGCGACCTACTGCGGGATAAAAATCTACCTCGTCAATCATGTATCGAAAGATACATGATCGCGTAAGCATATATCACATAATTGCCTGATGCTCAGAACCAGAAAGAAAGCGCTGAAATTCCTAGGACGCATAATGAAGAAATAGGATTTGGAAAACTTAACCCTCACAGCGTATATTAAGGGGAAGGCAGCGATTCGTCTAACTGTCTGTTATATGCTAGATGCAATCGTCAGGCCACGATTACATCTAGCATGAAATCGCCTCTAACTGTTGACTTCTATCCTCATAAATATAAATATATATATATATATATATATATATATATATATATATATATATATATATATATATATATATATATATAAACCATATTTTAAATCAATTAATTTATAATATTAATGCTCAGTAAATTTACATTGAGCACTATTTTGTAAAAATAAAATATCTATGAGAACACTGAATTATATATCTTACTGTTCTTTCTTTTCATATATATATATATATATATATATATATATATATATATATGATTATCTATTTAAAAAAAAAAAAAAAAACATAAATATGTTATAAAATCACTACAAAAATAGCCATTTTGTTTCAACACACTTGGTGTCTTATCAAGTGATGATGTTGAATGTAAAATAAATGGTTTTAAAAGTTTCTAATTAATTAACAATCCTTCACAAGAGTAAACCGTTGTTACAAAAGCTAGATGGACCAATCAAAATACAAGTATAGGAAAATTCAAAAAGCTTGACAACGAAGTCTTGTCATAATACCTATTCAGATGTTTAAAATATGGGTAGTATTAAAAAAGAATTTATTCTGACCAAAAATTACTAAATTATATGATAAAATTTAATATTAAAATTAAAAACTGCTAATTTCAAAATCAAAATTTAATCGCTATTAAGTTTACAACTATAAAATTACTGAGGAGAAAAGAAGAAATATATATGTTATTCAATTTATTTCTTCATTGAAGTTACTTTAGCTAATTTTTTTTCCGGTCCTTTGACAATGTGTACATTTTAATCCTAAGAGTGTGTGAATGGGGTCCTAAAATCACGTGTAAAACAAACGCAATCAGATTATAATATATAAGCACCCAGACATATTTATATTTATATATATATATATATATATATATACACACACACACAAAAAGAGACGAGACAGATAACATCACCACGATCGTTTAAGAAAAAAAAAGAAAAAAAAAAGGGGAAGTGGGGGGGAGGGAAACCAACACACACGTACATACATACACGATTAAAAGTGAATGCACTTTCCATACACGTAGACAATTATAAATACATGCACACACATCCACAGACATTGACCCAGACAATCGGATACTACAACCAATAGATATTTAAGACTGAAAGTGTCATTATATAATTGCTCATCACTTATTGAAATATAACTTAAGCGAGAAAATATACAAAGATAAAGATTATTAAAAATAATATTATTTAATATATTAAAATAGTGTATGTATATATATATATATATATATATATATATATATATATATATATATATATATATATATATATATATATTATCATTAATATTAATAGAAATCTCGCTCGGAAAACATTCGTTGTATTGGTTTACAAATAAATAAGCCAATACCAAAGGGAAAAAAAAGGTATAAAAAAGAAAGGACCAAGAACATGTACGTTAAACAAAAATAACCGTCCAGCATACGAGGTCAAGGCCCAAAGAAAAAAAAACCCGATGCGAGTACCCAAACTAACTAAAAAAAGTGCTCAATACAATGAGTAGAGAAAACTTAACTATATATATATATATATATATATATTAAACTGATATAAAAAAACTTCTGATGAAAAATAAAAAAAAAAAAAACTTTCTATATAATTGCTAAGTTTTTGGAAGAAATTTCTGCATTCAGACTTCAATAAAGAGTATCATATTTTTTCATGAGAAATAACAATTGTCGTAAAATAAAATAAAATTTCTTTTTTTTCCGTTTGGCACTTGGTCCATTCGACACTTTGTTCATTCGATATTTAAGCTGTTCGACATTTGGTTTGGTAAGTTATCGTCTTTTAAGAGTTTTACATAATGCCGTATAGGTATTTATTTGAGTTAGCATTAGAAATATTTATATAAATCTAGCAGGCTTCGTTCGCTCGCTATTGCTTCGCAATGTAAGATCACTAATTGAAATCTTTGAAACAACAATTTTAAACGAACATTTCAGTCATAAACTGGCTTGCTAAAGTTAAAGAAAGTTTTACAAATATATGCCAACTTCTTGAAGGCCAAGTAAAATGCAAATTTCAAACACTTTCTACACTATATAAAACAATATTCCTCAAGAGAACTATTTTTTATATGAAAATCAAAACAATCTTCGAATAAAAAAAAATAATGAAGGACAGTTAGTTAATGAAATAAACTTTTATAAATACACACGCACAACACACATACACTGTACTTTATATATAAGATTAATTCTTTTATTTTAGTAAATAAAAAATATATGTTACATTTCCATTCATTATTTTGTCTCTCGGGGTTCTGATCTATTACCCCTGATTCTCGAATACAACGAACCCAACTGGAATTGGAACACGACTCACCGATTAACAATTGCGAACCATTATCCATCATAACACTGACACATCCAAATTTACAAAAACTGTCATTCCCGAGTTGTCACCGATCCAGATACAGACCAGGCTCGAATTTGCTTAACTTCGGTGATCGAACGGGTACCGGTGTTTCAACGTGATATGGCCGTAAACCCTATCTAGTTTTATAATTATCCTTAATATGAATTATTTTCCTCTTAGTCGTTTTTTTTATTGATTCATTGCGATGACCAAAGCAAGAGAGTCTGACACGGTAAACTTTAACTTGATAACGCCCCACCAAAAATAAAACTAAACATGTGAAAAATGAGCAGAAATCCGAGAAAGAAGCGATTAAGTGTAAGAAGGATGAAGGAAATTTGAAAAGCGAGAAGAATGAAAATATCCGTCCACATCTTCCGCCTCTTGTTGGGCGACAGGGCAACGTAAGCAACGTCTGGTGAACATGAAGTCAGCGCTGTGGTTCTAGAGCGGAAGTGATGAGACAATTGACATAAACACGCATGCTCGGACATCTCACATGACATGATGTATTGAATGTACACACGTTTGATTCGTCTTGGACGATATTTCATTTCTTTACTGGTCACTTGATTTTGATTTATTTAATCTTTTTTTCATCTTGTTTTGCTTACTTTTTTTTAAGTCAGATCTTTTTAGCGATGTTTTTTTATAATGGATTTTTTGGAGTGTATTATTAATTTGTTTTTGACTATAAGGGACGATTTTGTTTTAATGAAACATTCCAAAATAATTTTACATTTTTTTTTTTTTTAGATTAAGCATCCTCGTCGAAATTTTTTTTTGTAAATCAGTTTTCCTGCTCGTTTAAATATAGCTTTCTGTCACAAAATGCAGGTTGTTTTTGTATTCTACGACTGTTAAGTGAAGAAAAAAGTCCATAATAATAAAAATAAAAATAAAAAAATAAACCCCACACTAACTCACATATCCTATGTTCTATTTCTGTCGCCCTCACTGTGTGCCTTTGTTTCCTCATTATGCGTCCCTAAAAATGGAAATTAGAAACCAAAGGGAATCTTATAAGTAACATCAGGAAGAAGCAGTTGAAATTCATGGGGTACGTTATGAGGAAGGAGGGCTTCGAAAATCTGATACTCACAGGACAGATTGAAAGAACGAAGCGCAATAAGTGTAAATGGATCATAGAGCAGGGTTTGAGAAAAAACAACAAAGAAACAAAACTTATTAAGAGACACAATGAAGATGTGTAGGGCCATGATCACCTACGTCTTGAAGGGACACGGCTCATAAAAAAAAAAAAAAAAAACATTAAAGCTGCCTATTGTTAATTATTTTCAACTGTAATTTCTCAACTCCTATTAAACTTACAAAATACATACCGAGGAATGAAGGTCTGGAGAACTAAACACACAAAAGACATATTGTAGTCACGAGAAGCAAGGGAAACAACACGTAAACTACTTAACTGATTTGTGCCATTGGGTATCAAAACTGACTGATCGAGTGTTTTTACTGATTATCAACGCTTCGCGGGTTATTTAAAGCCAGAAAATATTTTTAGATTGTAAGAATTTTTTTTTTAAGATAATAACGGTTTAGTGATGAAGTTACACTAATTAATTCATAGCTGGGGGTGATATGTGGATTCATAACATTCGCAAGTGTATTTCCTTCTAAGTGATTATAACGATATCTACGTAAGTGAATAAATCGAAGCAAACCCAAATTAAACTCAGTTCTTCAATTAGTAATTCCGAGCCATTATCGTTTACTCGCACATCCAAGCTTACTGAACAAACGGTCACCCGTGTAGGTATTGACCAGGCTATCCGTTGCTTAACTTCGGTGATCGTCCGGGATCTGGTGTTTTCAATGTGATTTGGTCGTAAGTGAGGTCAGGGAAAAAATGTATATTCAGCAAAAAAAGACAGGAAGTTGTGGAGAGTTATGATCGTCTACTTCATGAAAGGATTTATATTAGGAGCGCCTCCTCGTTGATTAATCTATAGGAGCCAATCTGTCGAACAATATTTCCACGGTATGGTTTTGGTAGATGTGTTGATAGCGAAACGGTTACGGAACGTAAAGATGGAATCAACCAACGTAGTTCAAATCTCTGCTGTGTTCTTCGCATTCATTTTGTTCAATGCTAACCCCGGGAAAGGCATGAAACGATTTCTTCTTCACACCTCCCAGCTATAGAAAAAACTAAAAAAACTCAGGCGAACTCACACATTCTATCTTCTGTTTCTGTCACCCTCAATGTGTGCCTTTGTTTTCTCATTATGCGTCCCTAAAAATGGAAAATACAAACAATAAGGAAATTTATAATTAACATCAGGAAGGAGAAGGCGAAATTTTTTAATCACTTAATAAGGAAGGAGTGTTTGGAAAATCTGATATTCGCAGGACAGATTGAGGGAACGAAGGACAGTAAGAGTAAGTGGATGGTAGAACAGGATTTGAGAGGAATAACAAAAAGAGAAACCTAATTAAGAGATACAATGGGCAAGAAGATGTGTAGGGCCATGATCACCTACGTCCTGAAGGGTCACGGCTCATAAAAGAAGAAAAGACATTAAAGCTGCCTATTGTTATTTTTTTTCAACTGTCAATTCTCAACTCCTATTAAACTTCCAGAACACATACCGAGGAATGAAGATCTGGAGAATCCAGAAGACATATTGTAGTTTACGAGAAGCAAGGGAAACAACACGTAATTTCTTCAACCACCTCCCAGCTATAGTTTAATTCAGCGTTTCTCAAACGACGCGCCCCGGTCAACTAATACGTCTTGAAAGGTAGCTAGATGCGCTCTACGTTAAGAGAAGATTAAGTCATGGCGAAAGAATCTTGAGCTGTTACGTGACATCTATCCTTCTTTAAAGCAGGCAATGTTAGACGACTTCCTTAAAGATGAAGAAGAGACTCGAGGCGACGGAGTTGTGCTTCTACAGAAGGATGCTGTGGATATCATGGACCGAGCGTGGAAGCACCGATGAGGTCTAAGAAAGGATGCAAACAAGGAGGAGGCTTATACGTAACATCAGGAAGACGCAGCTGAAGTTCCTGGGACACATAATGAGGAAGGAGAGCCTGGAGACTCGGGGATCGAATAAAGGGACAGAACGACGAGGGAAAACAACGCACAACATACCTAACGGAGATAAGCAAGTGGATGGCAGAACGTGGTCTGGAAGAGGAAGCAGAGGGAAGAAACTTGTTGAGAGCTGCAAGGGATAGAGGGAGGTGGAGATCCATGATCGCCTACGTCATGAAAGGACATGACATATAAAACGAAAAAGATTGTCTAAGCTTATCTTAGATGTCGCACAAGCCTGAAAGTGTGGAGCAGACAGTGAAGATCGAACTCATTACTCAAATGTAGTAGGTTGGTGCAAAAATAACGACGTAATAATGTCGTTTTTTGACGTATTTTTTAACGTCAAAAAACGACATTATTACGTCATTATTTTTGCACCAACCTAATAATTCCAGAAGTGTAAATTAAGATTTAGTTTTGTAATGATAAAATATTTTTAAAAAGCTAGAGACACCAAGTACATATTTTCAATGAAGTACAATCTCTGTCATTTAATAGTTTAAATTGGATGATAAATTCCGTATTTATTTAATAATAGATCAAATGTTAAATGCATTGATAAGATAATGAGGGTATAGTTATTACATATAAGACCTGATGTTCGAATCTATTTCTAGAATTAATAGCTAGGATTTCATTTGATTTTTTTTATTTTAATATTCAATCACATAAACACACTGATGTAACCTAGAGAAGGTTACTGAATAGAATAATCATGCGAATGTTGGTAATGATCATTCTTAGGACAAGATATAAGATTCGCCAGCCGCGCTAGAAGTAGTCAACAGGTAGAAGTGAGTCAAGACAATTCAACAATGAATCTCCAACTGAAGGATATCTACCAACCACCCCACGCGGTCTATGTGGCACAAGGCCGAATTCAATGTGGGGCATCCGAGCCCGTAGGCTCGGGCAAAAAATTTCCCGTAGACTGCATATAAAACATGGTCGGGTTGCTGTTTCTCGAGACAAGACTCTGTCCTTGGGTATAGCCTCTATCTGTCACACTATTTTCATTATCTCTTTATATTATTATAGCCATATCTATCTAAATATGTCAGTGTTTTCATATTACACACACACACACACACACACGCACTCTCTCTCTCTCTCTCTCTCTCTCTGTATCTCTCTATCTATCACATTATTTTCATTATCTATCTATTTATATCGTTATAGTCATGTTTATCTACATATTTCAGGCTGTTCATATCTATCTATCTATCTATCTATGCGCACAGACACACATGCACACACGCATATATATACACACCCAAACATACACACACATACACACACACACACACATAGACACACACACACACACACACACACATATATATATATATATATATATATATATATATATATATATATATATATATATATAAGTCTGTTCATATCTATCTCCTGCAGTTTGTTTATTTTGTATGTATCTATATATCTATCTATCTATATTAATATCTACTTTTCTGTCTGCACTGTTATTTTTTTGAAAGTTCACACTATAATACACGGGAACATATGGTTTAACGACCAAATTGATTGAATAATTTTCCTCAAACAATTTTATCGTAACATTTTAGCTTCTACCATAAATGATTCCAGAATTATCTACTTTCAGAATTTTTCTATTTCATAAACTTGATTTTCTTGATTAAAATAAACAGACAGAAAGAAAAGAAAGAAAGAAAGAAACCAAACGAAAATGAAAAAAAGCAGCAAGACAGGAATCAACCAAGCAAGAAAGAAAACTGAAATTAAAAAACCATTAAACCATATAACAAAGAAAGAAAGCAATAATGAACGCAAGCAGAGAGAAAACGCCAATTAAACAAGCAAGAAAAACAGACAGATAGAAAGACAGAAAGCAATAAAGAAAGCCAGCAAGACTGACAGATATAAAGAAAGAAATTATGCAAGCAAGAAGAAAGACAGAAAAAAGAAAGAGAAAAGAAAGGAAACAAACAAGCAAGTAAACAAGGAAGACAGAAAAAAAAGTCAAGCAAGAAAGAAAGTTTAACAGATAACTTTAATTAGAAATCTTGGGACGAGTAAGAAAT